TAATCTTATAAATCTATAATTTATATTTAAATTTATACTAAAAAGACTTTAAAAGAGAAGATTATTTAAGTTTTTGAAATTATTTTGAAAATATTTTTATTTTATTTAAGCTATTCGTATAATTATTTATTATAAAAAGTTTAAGAACTTTTTATTTTTATTTTTAAATATTTATTTTAAAACTTATATTTATATATATCTATATATCAGGTTCAAAGATTCACTTTATTAATTGAATTACTTTTTAATAAAATAAAATATTATCAAATGCTTTAGCTAGTATTAGAGTATATCTTACTAAAGATTTGTAAGCTTGAGAACGATTTCATTGAAGGTGGATCCGAAAATGCAGATCATTTCGCTCCACAAATGGGCTCATGAGCTTCTTGGAATGGACACCAAACGGGTTGTGTTCTTGTAACATATATAAAGTGCAAAGTTGCTTTTATACACCTTGATACTTCCTCAGTAGAAATTATTATTTTACAACCCGAAACATTAAACACTTCTTTCCTAGTAAGTTGCATAGGACATCTCAAATAATACTATCCATCATTTTGATCTTTCTTCCCTCTAAGTATGACAGAAACACTCAAGCCATTACTGCTCATATGCAGCTCTCCCGCACAAGGCCATTTTGCACCCTGCAAAATCATCGCCAAACAACTCATAAATCGAGGCTACGAAGTCACGTTTCTGACCGGAACTCGATTTGGACCTGGTCTCGAAGCCATCGGCGCCGCTTTTGTTCCCTTACAAGGCTATTCCGATTATGATGATTCACCGAGCGAGATGGCGAAGAAATGGCCTCTCCGAGAGAGTTTCCAGGGTCCCGCTAGAATGCTTTACGATATGGAACAATTATTCCTTAATGCCATGCCCTCACAATTTGAGAGTATTCAACGCGCTTTGAAGATAATGACGGATAAACAACCGGGAAGACAAATTGTTCTTCTTAACGATGTTATTTTCTGTGGTGTACTCCCCCTCTTGATGAATGCACCAGGCATCAAACCTACAGCGATAATTGGTATTGGGATCGCCTCCATTTTTATCACCAGCCAAGATGTTCCACCGATTGGAACTGGACTCTTTCCAGATAGTTCACCGGAAGGCCGCGTGCGCAATCTAGCCATGCACGCCGATTTACAGAGCGGACCGTTTGCCGGAATCAATAAAATCTTCCACGACAATTTCGAAAAAGTCGGCGCGCAACGTCCATCCACGTTTTCCTTTGATTCCATGTATATCCTCCCTGATAGATTTATTCAGCTCTGTGCTCCCAGTGTCGAATATCTTCGGAGTGATCTTCCCAAAACATTGTCTTTCTCCGGTGGTGTGCCGAAAGGTCATAGAGATGTTGTGCTCACTACACGCCCTACATGGTGGGAAGAAGTCACCGTCAATCCATCGAAAAAACGGATTGTTTTCGTTAGTCAAGGAACCATCGCATTGAATTACGAGGACTTGCTTATTCCCACCATTCAAGCATTTGCGGATCGCGACGATATTATCGTGATTGCCGCGCTGGGTGTCAAGGGGGCTTCGTTACCCGAATCGGTTATAGTACCCAGTAATGCGTATGTAGAGGAATTCGTCCCGTTCGATGATATTCTTCCGCATTGTGATGTATTTGTTACGAATGGTGGGTATGGGGGTTTTCAACATGGGTTGAGTAATGGGTGTCCGATGGTGATGGGTGGTGAGACGGAGGATAAACCGGAGACTTGTATGAGAGGTGAGTGGACGGGGGTAGGGATTGATCTGAAAACTGGGGGGCCGGGGGTGGAATTATTGAGGGAACAGGTTGAGAAGATTCTTGGGGATGGGAAATATAAGAAGAGGGCGGAGGAGATTATGAGGGAGATGGAGGGGTATGATCCCGTGGGAGTTTTTGAAACGGTGATTGAAGAGGTGGTTAAAGAGAAGAGTGCGCTTGCTAAATGAAGTGAATAAGGTGGTATGTGAGGTAATAGTAGATGAGCCAATATCCGATTTCGGATAGAAGATCAGACATATAATAAGCTCGGATAATAAGAGACAAAAGAAGGATAAATATTTTCACAACTCCAGACAATCAAATAATCACATCTCATCTATGCTATTTAAACTCTGCTATCTCATCGGCCAATTTTCCCTTTGTTTCCATTCTTCCGCCTCCGACCCTGCCCCCACCCCAAGGAACAACTTCCGAGTAATCACATCACCCCTTTTTTCCTCGCTTCTGCCACTGTCTACCCATGCCAGCCAACGCTACAGTACCATCTACACCGCTTAAATCATAACTTGCCTCATAATCAACTGCGGGAGCTTTAAAAAAAAACCCATCCCAGTTCAAAAACCACAAGGAAGTTGTGTGAAAATATCGAAATCAAAATCAAAACCAATCCATTAAACCGAATGTTTCTTTCTCGGTGACTGGGTTACTTTACTCCACACTTTCATGAACTTTCTCCAAACCCCTGCATTTTCTTTTTTTTTATGGTTCTTGGTTTTTGAATTGCTTCTTCGTGAAGTTTTGGTTTTGTGGGATTTATTTGATGACTGTGATGGATGTTTAGAACCACCTGTTCGCCTTCGTCTTCGTTTTTGAGGATGGGGGAGGGGAATCTGGGACTTGTAATTGGATTTGTGAGTTAATTTGATATTTGAATGTCAAGGTCAAGGTCAGGGATTGTGATCTTTTGGCGTTACTCACATGATATCTTGACGACGATTGTTTTGTCGCCTCTCTTCCCTCCTCCTCCTCCTCGTCTTGATCGCTATCTTCTACCTTCTCCCCACTATTCGCATCTGCATCCGCATCCTCCTCCTCAAAATCTGACATCAATTCTGGACCCAATCTTTCATGTCGTCCGACCGAAACCGAGGGTATTGAGGCGCTATGCATACTTGCCTTCGATCGCTATACATATTTCATCCATTAAAAACAACAACAACAACAACAACAACATAACGGAAACAAGTCCTCATAAACTGACATACCTCATAACCATCTCTATGGCGTCTAGAAGATGTACCTCGAAGCGAGGATGCCGAGCGTCTGCTACGACGCGAGGACGATGAACCATGACTAGAAGAATTACTATTAGGCATCCTGAATGTCCATTTTATAATAGGAAACTACCAGCTGAGTGGAGATATGAGAAAGATTGCTTTCATATATTCGTTGAGTTATCGTCTAAGGTTAGAATATGGGCCGGTGATTTTGGGTGTTGGTGAAAATTTTGTAGGCCCGCGGTATTTTTTCAGGCTGAGGCAACAATCAGATGATTTAATGTCTTTGCGATGGCGGCCCTGGTGTTGGGTATGGAGACCTCAGTATAGCCTGGATGTAAGCATTTGCTCAGTGGGATTGTGGGACACATTCATGAAGTTTTTGTGTGAGTAGCTAAACTCATCAGGAGCAATATGATGCTTAAGACTTGTGCTTGATCAATGGAGTGAGTTGATCGTGACAATTGATTGACGAAAAGGGCATTTGCGATAGGCACAAGAGATTTGTGGACTTGAATGGGCATCTAGAAATTGGCAAACTGTAGGACGATATCATAATTGAGCGTCCAAATCACTTTGCAGAATTTGTAACGTCAAAATGGTGATAAGACTGCAATTTGAACTCATATACAATCTGTTGTCAAGTCAAATTGCCTTCAGAGACCATGCCATGAACTATGCACTCATCGTGTTGCAAATGTAACTGTCGATTTGACATTCCATATACCCCAATTTACAGACGAGTCATATACTAAAACCCAATGCTACCGAGCTAATTTTATTGTAATCGAGGGCATGGTCGAGTGTAGCATCATTCAGACGCCAAGATGGTTGTTGGTAAAAGTGATTAATAGAGGTAAGATCAAGGCAATGGAGAAATCGTAAATGTACCAAGGATCGACTAATGTTCTCAAATCTGATGAACACGAGTCCTGAAGTATATTGCTTCTACATAAACCGTAGTTAATCTGCCTCTGTGAAAGATTTGCCATAATCTCTAACAGCATGGCCATAGAAAGTCGTAGACCACTGGGTCCTTGAAATCCAGAACCTGCTGCGGCCTCTAAGATGCGTAAACGACCAAGAATAGTTCCCTCAAAGATGTGAAATCACGAGATTGGAAGATCTTGCGATGTCGTAGTGCAATGACCAGAGTAGTAGTTATTTGGTCATTGGGATTGATATCTTAGTAGATGGGAAGGAAGTGAAAGGGTACCACGAGATGTGTGATCAGTGGGCTAAGAGGAGACGAAAAGATCGAAAGACAGTCTTTTGCTCGTACATTATATCATTGCAATTGGGGCTGAAATAAATGGTTGACTTTGCATTCAAAGGACGGTAGTGCTTGACGGCCACAGCTCTCGACTCCCAGCAAGTAGCAATGGTGCCTGGATTTGGAATGAAGATGTCTTCCGTACTCACGGAAATAGGCATACTTGTGCATAGAAAGAACAATGCTACTACTATGTATGTAACAACATCAAAGTGTCCAGATAAATGTTCGTATATTCAGATAATTTTGGTTTCATGGCTGAACACCAGAATACTGAATTGCTACCAATAGATGGTAACCAGCACAGGTCTGATATGAAGACTATATGTTCGGGACCAACGAGCAGGTCGTATTCAAAGACCAAATCTCGAGGTACATCATTGGTGTAAGGACAATCTCAGGATAAAAGGTTGGATGTCGATGTCGATGTCGATTTCGAAGTATCAAGTATAAGGTTACATAGCGTTGTTGTGAGAAAGTAACACTAATCGATTCTTGGCAAGTAGACATGTTCCGATTCTCTTCCGACACAAGATTTCTAATCCTTCAATACTGTGTTTCTCACAAATCCAATGAACTGAATCAAAAGTATTTTACTGATTAACACTTCCATACTACTTGATACCCAAAAATAGGTTGATCACATCCTCTCGTCCTCGTTCTCCGTCCTATATTTGTGCCTATCGACATACCTATATATTGGAGCCGCAACCATTGAAAGCCGGCCGACCCACTAGACATTTCAGGCTGTTTAACGACATGCCCACCACTTAAATACTTCAATCCGTATGTATGGGATACAAGGATATATGTTGCCCACGATGATTTTGCAATGCAAACATAACAACCATGAAACCTTTTCGCCTTTCAAAGTTTATGACCATTCCACCATCAGATGAGAAGAAATATTTGAAAGATGTGGAGTCGAACAACGGTACGTTCGAAAGTGAGGCTTCGAGGAAGTCCAGAGTGAAACACCAGAAGGTTAAGACGGGATGCTATACATGCAAGTATGCAAGTCTTATCTCTATGTTACAATACCATGCATTGAAATTACCAAATTGGCATGAGCTGATTACCAAGTTTTTAGAGTACGCCGAGTCAAATGCGATGTATGTGATCCCTCGTCGACTAATCTCCCGAGATATCTCACGGCAGTTCCACGGCCTATGATAAGGTGTATGTTGACGAATAATAGGAAACGAAACCTTCGTGCAAACGATGCAAAAAGACCGGAATACAATGTGAGGGGTACCCATCATACGCTGTCCAGCGATCCTCGCGGTTGCATACCAGTCGAATGAATATAGTAGATTCCTCCCCGCCATTACAATCACCCGTTTTTCATATACAAACCGGTCCTATACTAGAGAACGAACAAGATTCTCGATATTTTCGATATTTCTGCGAAACCTCGGCCGGCGATATCGCCAGATTATTCAACCGATCGGTCTGGGAGCGACTGATCCCCCAGGCAAGCGAATCCGAGCCGTTCGTTGCCCAAGGTCTGATTGCCTTAGGGGCTTTTAGTAAAGGGCGCACCTCAAATGGCACAGAGGCGTTTCTACACCGTCAACATGGCCTTGATCAGTATGGTAAAGCTCTCGTTGGAATGAGACAAGCTCTAAACGGAAGCTGTTATAATGCTCGTAAAGCACTCATTGCGTGTCTACTTGTGTATTCAATCGAAAGTATACAGGGTCATCTTGCCACAGCCGCTGCTCATGCTGCTAGTGGAGAAAATCTTCTCCATGAGATTATGCTCGACAAAAAAGCCAAGACCCTTCATCCCCTCAGCTGCCAGCAAGATCCCACAATTGATGAGGATCTTTGCAGAGCTTTTTCAGATCTTGACCTTCAGGCACTTTGCGTGATTGATCGTCGATCCTCAAAGCTGCATGAGCGACGAACCAATGATTTGAATCACTTGTTGCTATCAATGCCTTTATCATTTTCAAATCTCAAAGAATGTCATGACTGGTGGCAGATTATTATGCGAAGAAATTTTCATTGGATATCGACAGCACGAAAAGCCATTCTTGAGGAACGACCGAAGGATGATGAAAGTCCAATCATCTGTTTACCTGATGACGAAGGGCTCGATTTGAGTGATGAGAATTGCTCATGGACTTCTGTTGCAGTTATATCTAGTACTAATCCGGCCCTTAGAAAAGACTGTGCTACATATCTTGATGAAATTGCGCAATGGGAAAGTATTGCAGCACCATTAGTAGAAAAAGGACTCCGCGCTGACGAAGATTCTCGAGAATTTTTGGCGGCGTGCCTTGCGAAAATACAGGTGGCAATGATGATGATTCAAGTAGCAAGTGTCTTCATTGTCCATGCAATTGAATGGGACGCATACTTTCGGGAGTTTCGAATAATTATGAATTATGTGATGAAACTCCGCCCGCGCATGATTCAAGGAGAGGGCAAGTACCATTTTGATTTTGGGGTAATACTTCCGCTCTTTATGGTTGGAACTCATTGCCGAGATAGAGTACTAAGGAGTCAAGCGATCAATGTCCTCAAGGAAGCCAAAGGCTATCGAGAAGGCATTTGGGATTCAGATGCCTGTTCACGAGTAACTGGGTTTACGAGAGATGTAGAAGAGGAATGGGCTGATGAGAATGGATGGGTTCCTGGAGAAAGACGCTTTACTATCACTAAAACAAAAGTTGCAGTTGATAAAGGGAGGTTATTGCACATAAGTGGATATCAAAAGAATGGGAGTTTAGAGGGAAAGGGAGAATTTAAGGAAATATATATAGTATGGTAAATGTAGATAATACGATAACAAGTGTTCCCCTTCGAGGTCTGGTCTTTACGTGTTTTGGCCTCAAAATGTTCGTTAAGCAAGCCCCTTAAATATCTTAAATAGGCTTTTTGCGTGAGAAGCCTTGTTGTGCCACTTATGCTTGTGGTACAAAATTTTGAGTTTTGAGTGTAATAAGTTGTAATAAGACTTAAATTGAATTCTCCACACAAGAAGGCAATTAATTGATATTGTCACAAGTCATGTGGACGAAAGGGATATCCTTTACTGAGTAGTAGAGGGCGAGGATAACACTCATGTGGCGATTTGACAATATAATCGTACAACTTACAAGTGAACTGGATTGCTGAAACTTTTGAAGCGACGACGTTATTATTAACGATATCCAAGAAGAGATGAATAAGATATCATATATCACAGGTGTAATTAACACATAGAAAAGGTTGAGGTCAAGAAATATAAACATAAATAATTTAGATGGTTATTAGCATGAAGGCTTGTGAATAGGAAGCAAGTCAAGTAATGTGTGTGTGGCGGGGGCATTAGATAGACTAACTATTAGAAAAGATGATCCCAAGGTACTAAGTAGGCATAAGTCTTAAATTAGCCACTGAGAATGACAATTAATACTTTTTCATACTTCTTACTAGATAATCAAGGCAATTTCAAAGTTTTTTTTGAAGTTCATTTCTTCTGATTCCTTATTTATTGATCCATCTTTTAAATCAATTCTCCCAAAAGATCTAATCTTATCAAGATCTTACCAAAACCACCATTTTTTTTTAACAAGGCAGTCAGTCAGATAGATAGTGACACTAATCTCAATATAAACTAGCGTCAAATCCTGAGCCTTCAACGAACAAAAGAAGGCTTGCTTCAACCTGTGCGCCCCTCCGATTACATACACCCAACCGCGACACTTTTTTCCCATCAACTTATCACCAATACTCAAATAATATCAAAAGCAACAAGCCATAATACCGGTAAGAAAAGAGAATTTGTAGCCAAGCTATGAATCGAGGTGGTAAACTTGCTCCTGAGGTTAATCGGTATGTACCTTCGTTTGTAGTTCATTGTACCTGCACAACTGGTCGCGTGAGATGGCTCTTAGGTGGCAGAAGTGAGGATTGATAGCTAATGTGTGTGTTGAATGTAGAGCTTTGTTCGTCAAGAATCTAAGGTATGTGGATTGATGCAGGAGAGAGAAGATGTGGGGACTTGGAGATGGGGTTGTGGATTGGGATTTGGTGTAGCTGGAAATGAGATAGATGTGCATAGGCATAGGGCTGATGGATCTCGGAATGACAGCTACAACGTAACGCCCGAAGAACTCTTTGATTTGTTTGGTAAATTTGGCGCGATTCGGTATGTACTTTCGGAAAGAACGAGCAACCCCGACCGAGGCAGACATATAAATGAAGATGGAGTTGCTCAATCATGGAGAGTGCAAAGGTGCTAACAATGATCTAGACAAATTCGTCAAGGTATCGCAACCAACACCAAGGGCACGGCTTTTGTTGTCTACGAAGACGTAACGGATTCTAAGACTGCCTGTGATAAATTGAATGGATTCAATTTCCAAAATCGTTACCTAGTCGGTACGTTCTCGTTCTTCATCTCTATTTTAGTCGGAACTCTTTTCACTAACACTCAGATGAATATAGTTCTTTACCATCAACCGGAAAAGATGGAAAAGATGCGCGCCAACTCAAATCAATCGGATTCATACGCTGCTCGCAAAGCGAGTTTAGAACAGCTTAAAACCGCGAACAATATCGATTAACAATCTGACGGGCCCCTAGTCCGCCCAAACGCCGTATCAAATACGAAGTCTACAGCGTCTATGGGCCCGTCATCCAGGGTTGGAAATGGTTCACCAGTGGAGGAAGTGAGGAAAGATGAAACACGAAGACAATCTGCATCAATTACAACCAGAAAATCTCCTACGACAACTGCTATGCATGGAAAGGGAGATAAATATCAACATGTGGAGCATCATCGTGGGATTAGGGGGGCAGCAGTGGCAGGTGGAAGGCGTAATACCTCTTTCCTTGCTCTCGTGCGAGGATTGGTTTTCAGGCGTTAAGTGGTGTTGTGTTGCTTTACTGAACGGGGAGGCCTGGCTTTTACATGAATTTTTTCCTTTTTAACTTGACTTACTATTCTTCTCTCCTTCTACGATTCTGTGGAGAGAGTGCCGATTTTCGGTATGCAATTGGGGAGAGCTTCTGCTACCAGGGATGTGATTTTTCTTTCTATTCAAGAGGATGAGTTCCGGCTCGCAAAAGCCTGGTTCTCTTGTTTCTTTGATGCTTACCGTTGCATATGGTATGCTCTGCTTTCAACGCAAAATTGCCATTTTAGGGCCTTTATTGATTCACACTCTACTCACTCGCTCACTCACTCACTCATATACATACATTACCTCAAGTTTCATATTTTCTTAAACACTGCCCGGTTAATCTGCCTCGTGTTGTTGGTGTTACATCCGGATACAATATGGAGAAAGGAATAAGGCTCTCGGAGCCCCGCGGTTTGCTCCGTGGATTGCTCCGTGGAAATGGAGAGGCTTTTTTTTTATAGCTTACTTGTTTTGAATCGTGATTTTAAGTGTGATTGTACACCTCTGTAAGCAATACCTTATGTTGTACACACACAGCAATACCTACGATCGGAGCCGGCGGTTGGGTGGGGTGTGGGCTTACATAATGTGATGTGCATACCTAGGTAGATATATGGAGTGCATAAAAGATATAGTGAACCTATGTATCACAAGGCCTCAACGTGCTCTGTTTGGATTGGTTGGATGAGTTGAATTTGGCCTTGTGGTGCATACATAGCATGTTGATTTCTTATCACAAGGTCATTACAAGTAGGCGGGGCATAGGAATGGATAGAAAATAATTAGGAGGTTTGGTAAAAAGGAGGGTTTGATTGGTTGAGAGTAGGTTTGTAGGTTTGAAGGTTTGGAGATTGGTGAGATTGATAAATTTATTATTTAAGAGGGGGAAGGAAGGTGCTTGCTCCTCTTCTTCTATTATATTCTTCTATATTATTTATTGCATTGACGAACCGAGAAAATCAAATTCAATAAGTATTAAGAGAAGATATTAAATACTCTGTGAATTTATTTACGGATCTTTGTCTATAAACAAACGAACAAACGAACAAACGAACAAACGAACAAACGAACAAACGAACGAACGAGTACTATTTCACCAAACAAACACAAAAAGGAAATATCAAGATTAAGATCAAGATGCAAGGTCTTCCAATTCTCGTCAATCAAGGTGGTGCAGCTTGTAGCTGTGGTGAAGCGTATCCAGAGGGCGCGAATAAGGATACTTATGTTTGCAAGTGTGGTGCTGTGAGTAGTAGATTTCTAGGTTTTGGGGTTTTAGGGGGGTTTGTGGAGAGTTGGGGGAGGGGAAGGAGAAAAGAGAAGAGAAGGGATGTGTAGATCGAGGAGTTTTGTTATATGGATTGAGATTGGCGCGGATGTATAGAGTGGGTTGAGGGAGGTGGTTGAGGGATATTTTGCTAATTTGGTGTGCGATCGAATAGAAATGCCCAAGTGCTAAGTAAATCCGCACACGAGGAATGATGGCCTTGATGAATGAGTGGTTTACCTATTGCGATGTCGACTGTGTAGGAGTTTTTGGTGTGTGGTGGGGGATGGGTGGGGGATGGTGGGTGAGATGGAATGGAATAAGGATGGGTTGATCTCGATATGGTTAGTGCGTCGTACACAGGTTTTGCTATGGATAGGTATTATGATGGGTTGTTTGCTTGTTGTGGAGTGTGTGTGGAGGATATGGAGGGGGATATGGATGATGGGCTAGTAGTAGCGTTCGCGATGATGATTGATGATGGTTGATGATGGTTACCTATGAGATTCATGCTTTGCTTTCAGTTGTACGGAATGGATTGATGGTTGGATGGATGGGAGCTTGTGTCTAAATTGAATAGCTATATGCTCTACTGGTATACTGTGTGATGTGAACTGTGATGTGAACTTCAACAGTGTCGAGATTCACATGATCCCTTTTTGCTACACTACCTATCGTACAGCCAACTTCTGCGATAAAACGAGAATATTTTCCTCTCTCTATCTCTCTCTCCCAGATACCAAATCCATTATACTCGTAGTAGCGCTAACGATAAATATCGAACCCCCCATTAACAATCCCACATCTCCAAAGTTCAGAAGACTGGTTTCTATCTATCTAATCGATGGCCTTTTTAAAATCGGATGAAATCTGTTTCACCAGCGCTTCTGATAGCGGCTATCCGGCCGTTTTGCACATTGCTTAAAAAAAGAGCTCCTGATGTACATGTTTGAGACAACAAACTGTGCAGCGTGGGTTTCATATCACTTTGTTTAACCTTAGCCCGTGCTAGCTTTTATACTTATCTAAGTACAGTAGATAAATAATAAAAGGGGTACTCAGTATCTTGAAGCTTTATCTAGATTGAGATTCGACATTTTCATAGGAAGCTTTATAAATTATTTGATAACCTGAAAGTTACCTAGTATATCGAGAACAATATACATGCCGGTATTCATATCAAATTAAGCATTCACACGTGATATAGCTCGTAACTATAAATTAGAGTTTCAAATTAGGTAAGCCAGGATTTAATACTTACAACCTAGACAAATCCAAGGAGTTAGGTAGGTCATTTTCACTCTCAACATAGCCGCCATCACTCAGCTTGTTAATGACGGGTTTGATGTGCGCTAGGTCTTTTTGTTCTTGATTTCTCTTCAAACATAGATATTCTTTTGTGTTAATACATTTCTCTTCACAACTACAATTTCGATATATATCATCCTTTATTATTGATTGTTTCTATTGTTTAAAAATCGAACAAATCATTCTGCTCTTAATCAGGGTTCACCTAGTTTATTGAGGTCACTGCGTCACCGAAGATAACCTTATAACCTTAAGAGACGGGAATTTTCCAACCCACTGTTTGCCGTTATCCCAAACTCATTTACAATATTTAACTCTACTCACGAAAGAAATAATACCAGATTTTCGCAGATGATCACTTAATCAATTCAACAAATAACTACGAAACTTCTCTATCCCCTCGATCTCTTCAAAAAATCGACAGTTGTCGCACAAGACAACTATGCTACCGCCACCGGGTTTGGAGCTCACATCTACATCAACTTTCCTCGACGATGCCTCTCCTACATCTATTCTCACATCTGCGATAGCAACTTCAACGGCTTTATTACTTGATCTCGTAAACCCAGCATCTACAACCACTTCAATACTTGCTGCGGCAACAGATGACGATACACACTCCAAACCTGACAATGGAGAATGCCAACTTCTTGGCAATTTTGCCATTTTAGTTCAGGGTTCGCTAGGTCTACTGGCTGTGATGGCCTTGGTATTTAAGAGATGGAGAGAACGACCTCAACGACCTATGAAGATTTGGTTCTTTGATGTTTCGAAACAAGTGGTTGGAAGTGTGTTGGTGCATATCGCAAACTTGTTGATGAGCATGTTATCGAGTGGACAATTAAGTATCAAATTAGATGCGAGTAGTGTCTCGAAGAGAATGGTGGATGATGGAGGACAATATAAGCCAAACCCTTGCAGTTTTTATTTACTGAACTTGGCTATTGATGTAAGTATATCTGCCCATGACCTTTCAACATGTGCTGATCTCTTGACTCTAGACAACGATCGGTATACCGATACTCATATTTCTTCTTCGAATACTCACAGCACTCTTCGTTATGACACCATTTGGTAGCCCACCCGAATCGATCGAATCAGGCAATTATGGCCACCCACCAAGAGCAGTTTGGTGGTTCAAACAATCTATAATTTATTTCATCGGCTTGATGGGTATGAAAATATGTGTACTCATCATCTTCCTTGTCCTCCCTTGGATTTCCCGCATCGGAGATTGGGCACTGCGGTGGACGGAAGGAGATACAGTATTGCAAGTCATATTCGTCATGTTGATCTTCCCAGTTATCATGAATGCGACTCAATATTACATCATCGATTCATTTATCAAAAACCAGAAGCCTGATCACGAGCTGATCCCAAATGAGGATAGTGATAGTGAGGAAGGAACAGATGGACGTTATGCCGACCCGAGCGGAAGTAGTGATGAGATTCTTTCTGCTGGAGAGGAGGAAGAAGATGAAGAAGTTTTGGCAAAAGTTCATAAGAAGACTAGGCCTGAAACGCCGAAGAACGAGAAACGTTTAGGACTCAGGACAGGAAATAAAGACTATGACCCTCTATACGATGGAGAGAGTAGTCCAACGGTGGTAGGAAGCACAAGTTCAAGGCCAGGAGATGACAGTGACGACAACACAAAGAAATAAACATTCTCTCGATTTTAGATTGAAGGGAGTGGATCCATTTGTTAAATTCGAAAGATTGGTATATGACTTTTGAGTACATAAAATGAGTAGAGTATATTCATACAAGGTGTTTGGGGGAACAGCACATGAAATTTTCGTCGTCGGTAGTACATAGACACATTGTGAGGTGGGATTCGGTATGGGCTGGGCTGGGCTGGGCTGGCGTTTATGATTGCATTGTATGGCAGACAATTGAATTGAGTTGGGCTTGTGCATGGCATGGCGATGTCGATGGCGATGGCGACCCAAAGGAGAAAGAATATTTATATTTACATTTACACAACTACAAGTTAGCTTTAAATATTTATGGCTACAATAGCTTCTTTTTTTTGGTTTTTAATATCCTTCAGCTATGTGTGAACATGACATGATATGGCTGATATGGCATGACAGGATGTGATTCATATACTTGTATGTTTCTAGCAAGTGCTATAAATTTATTATAAATATAAACATACTATATCTATCAATCTATCCTACGAGTAAAAGTCTGAGATTCTCTAGTCTATTTGAGTCGAAAGTCGAGAGTCGAGAGTATATTCGAGTATATTTGAGTATGCAACTGCGATGGGTGTTGTGATGGGTTTTCTGTATTTGATGTGTATGTGTGGATGGATGGATGGATGGAGATGATGAATTCTGGCTGGGGCTGTTGATTGATGATTGGTATTGGTGTTTGGTGTTTGGTGTTCGTTTGGGGAGTTGAGAGGGATAAGGGAGATAATGGAGGGTTGAGGGGTTGAGAAGAATAAGGGAGTTGAGAGGGATACGGGGAGTTGAGGGGGATAATGGGGTTTTGTATTGGGGATTTGTATTGGGAAAGGGGGTGATTCATTTATGGGTGGGTAGGTAGGTAGGTAGGTAGGTAGGTGCGCTTTAAAGTTAAAGTTAGAGCTGTCTGGCAATCTAGATTCTAAATGTCTAGAATCTTATCCCCCAAAAACGAACGAGGAAGGCTGAGGAAATCCTGGGGATATTTTTCAGCATGAACTTGGGGGTTTTGGTAATGAATAATGTCACGTTGTAAATATCAAGAGAAGAGAGAAGATAGAATTGTTACCTTTTCTTTCCCTTTCCTTTTACTCATACTCATACTCTTCACCCTGTACTCTTTTGCTTTTACCTTTTACATTCAAGTTTTAGTCTACCCCTGACCTGACCTGACCTGGCCTTTTCTTTTCGGTAACTCTAATTAATTAACCCTTTACCCACTCTCATTTCGCGGAAATGTCTTATTTTTATTGTATTGGCTACTAAGTGTGCTAGTATGTGGGATTCTTTTTTTTTGTTGGGCTTGAGTTGGAGTTGGAGTTTGTGGGGTTCGTTGCGTTTGGACGGTTGTAACTTGTAAGTTGTAAGTTGTTGGTAGGGCTTGGGTGGGAAGTAGGTAGGAAGTAGGGTCAGGAATAGGGTAAGGTAAGGGCTAGGGTTGGCTTCCTGGCGTTAATAAGGAGGTGGGGGTGGGGAGAGTGGGAGAGGAGAGATGGGGAGTGGGGGATTGTTTATATATCTAGAGTCGTTGTGATGTAATGTAATTTGTTGGTGATCTTGTGGGTTTTGTCTATAAAAAAAATTGTTCTATTCTTTGAAAATATACTTTGAAAAAAAGGGATAAGGGGATAGGCGAGGGTAAAAATATAGCTAAAATATACAAAGTTGGAATTCAAAGTTTAAGTGTTTTCGGGAGGAAGACTAAAAAAGAGGAGAAAAGAGAAGGAAGGAAGACTTGAAGAGGGGGAGAGAAGAGAAGAGAAGAGGAACAATGGCGGAAATACTAGGAGCGCAATTTCCTCAATTACCGATGTTGAGTTATGAAGCTCAATCTCAACGTCAACCGCGAATTGAGGGATGGGATGGGGATGGGGATGGAGATGGAGATTTGAAAGCGAATGTGGGGTTTGAGGAACAAACTGAGTGGAGAGGGAGAGTGTTGGATCAACCGGTAGGGTTTTCTTTTCTATTTTTATACTTTTCTGGTGTTTTGGTGTTTGGTGTTGAAGGGGTTGAAGGGCTTGAAAGGGATGAAAGAAGGAGGAGGAGAGGGAAGGAAAGCGAGGGGAGGCGAATATAAAAGGGGATTATGAAAAGAAGATGGAGAGAAATGTGGATGTGGATATGGATGTGAATATTTGTTAATGGATTGATTGATTATAGAGACCGGTTTTTTTGCCTATGGATACTGGTGCAAGTATGCAGTTGAGGCGAAGCTTAGGAGGAGAAGAGGATAGGGGCGAGGGTGAGGGTACGAGAGGAGAAGAGGGGGGAGAAGAGGGAGAGAAAATAGGAATGAGAGGGGGTGGAACTTTTTGTGATTTGTGTGTGGGGATTTGTGCGGGATTGTGTGTTTTTGAGTGTTTGAATTGTTGTTGTTGCTGTTGTTGTTCGTAAGGGGCTTGGGGATTTGGATGAGGACGGAGGAGCATGAGTGAGATGGGGGGAAGGGGGAGGGGGTATGAAGAGGAATATACGGGGGTCGAATGATGGAGGGATAGAGTGATGAAGGAGGATGAGCTTCTATATCAAAGTTTATATATATATAATTTCGAGACCGGAATTTGGGGAGGAAGATGTCACGGTCATGGCCTTTTAGTGGAAAGGGGGGGTGGGGGGAGGGGGGTGCGGAGGGGTGGTAATTCCTTTCATCAAGGAGGTTTAAGTCTTAATGGATGGAAGTATCCGTCCGGAGAATCACGATTCAGTTTGGAGTTTAATGAGTGCCAGTCACGATCCTGTTGGTTTGGAAAGAAAAGGATTTCATTTTTGTGTGACTCGGGAGGTCACGGTATAAATGTCGATGAACTCGATGTCGAGGCGGATATGCCAGTGGAGTTTAGTTGGACTCGGATGGAGAATACAGTAGTATTACTGGAGTATAATTTCGAAATTTGAAGGGAAGATCGAAGATTTATTTACTACTACTCGAGTACTAGTTGTATAGGTAGTAGTAGTAAGTAATACTAAGTAATAGTAAAATTTGACAAATATATTGATTATATTTTCTCATCGTACGAGTATATAATATATAAAAGGCTGACTGATACTATTTAAAAGAAAATTGAATTTCTGATATCCTATCCAATTAGCCATTTTTTCTATCATTATCACATTATTTTTATATCTTTCACATCTTTTCTATCTAATCCAGATATCCCATCCTATTCTATCCGTCTATCCTATCCAACCTACATTCCATCCCATCCCATCCATACATGCAACCTATCCTTTACCATTTACCATCCCTTACTATTTTATTTTCCCTCCTCTCCTCTCCTCTTTCTTACTCTTCCTCCTCCCCTCTTTCCCCTCATTCTCATTCTCATTCTCCTCTCCTCTCTTCCCCTCCCCTTCCCTCCATTCCCCTCTCCTCTTTCTCCTCTTTCCTCCTCTTTCCTCCTCCCCTCTTTCCTCTCATTTTCTTTCATTTTCTTTCTTCTTTTCGATTACCTTTTCCTACTTCCTACTTCCTACTTCCTACTTCCTACTCCCAACACCATTCTCCGAAAAAAGTTAAAATTAAAGTTTTGTCATTTTATCAGTTTATTAATGATGTATCATCCATCATCCAATATTCACAATGAAAGCTAGCTACTAGTTACCAGCTACGATTATCCATCCCATCACCCGACATAGACGACATAGACATAGATATTTATACAATCCAACAAGCACGATGAAACCAAAAATCGTAGGATCGAGTAGGATGTGTAAGAATATGATGGTCATGGTCATGGTCATAGTCATGGTATAGTATATTGCATAACTCAAGAAACTCTCTCATTTCCCTTCCCTCTTTCTCCCCCCCCTCCTGTCCCCCTGCCCCCATCTATTCCCACCTCTCTCATTCCCATTCCCATCCACCACCCCCCTTCCATTTCCTCTCCCTTTTAACATGTATGAGAAAAAAAAAACATAATAAGACTAATATGATAATAGTCTTTCCATCCATCCATCCATTCCCCCCATCTAATGTTTGTTATCGCAAACCCACCACCCAGCGAGTACCCACTCACAAAAAGTAAACATACCCCAACGCCAGGAATGCTATGTACATGTATCTCGTTTATCGATTATGCTTTGCAATGCAGGGAAGCGCTCATCGAAATCTCGATGAAAAAATTTTCACCGCAAGAAAATGTAACAAATGAAAAAAAAAAAAAAAAAGCAGCCATATCAATATGATTGATTGCCAGTAAAAAAAAAAGCCTTCACAGCGCCCCCGTCAAATGCATTCAATTCCGGGTGAACTTTTTCAACTCGATGTTCGTTCGCACGGTACGGTACGGTACGTATTACTGTAGTTCCTAATTTTATAGGGGGTATTTCAATTCGCCATCTCCAAATGACCCGTCTTTTTGGGATATATTTTGGTCCAAAGGTGATGTAAAGGGGAATCTATGCAATCGCTAAAAGACAACTGATGGTTTCAAAGCCTCTGCCAAGGCCTGGATATCTGCGCTCAAAGTAAAAATACAGCCGGTGCCCAAGGTCGATGAAGGGGTGCGAGGTATTCGAAGGGATTTCGTCGTAGGGCCAATTGTCAATTATCTAACTGCTACCTGTTAGATTTGCTAACAGAGCGTTCAGGTAAGCTGTACCGTGACCCATTTGGAGCTATTGAATCGAAATCGTAATTCTTTAGAGTCTGTTCATATTTGGAGCTCTTCATGAATTTCGGTACGGAATCCTACGATAAATCATTAGCAAGTGATTGATAACTGGTGAATTGACAATACTCACACTAGCCATCAGCTTGAAGACAGACAGCTGAGCCTCTTCAAATAGTTTGGTGACTTCCTTCAGACTCTCAACCATAGCAGCATCTTGTCCCACAGCTTTGGTCATCCTGGTAGCAAGTTGATTCCTGAGCATATGATCGATGTTAAGCTCGCAAGGTGAGCCTGGAGCCAAGAACGCATTGTAGATGCCGTACGCCGAGGCCATGGTTTCTTTGACGGAATCGAGACTTCCTCCTGATTTGCCCTTGGTTGGATCCACATTTCTTATAGCCGCTTTGCATGACTTTAAAAATTCCTCGACATCTAGATAGAAAGACAGGTTCTCCTCACAATGTGTATCCCGTAGATTTTCGCGGAAAAGCAAACGTAGCGCAGCATCGTTAAGGATTTTGTCCAACTTCTGAGTGTTCGAATCGCGTGATACACCAGCTCTAATTGCTGCTGAAGTTCCATCACTTTCAGAAGTACGATCCCTTGAAGTCATGTTGATGACGTCCTTGCCCTTTTGTGATAATTGATAGTAGGCATACTTTGTAGGTTGAAATCGGGAATCCTTCTTATCATCTGAGGGAGGAAGCTGTTGTTGATATTGCCTGTCGGGCTGAACGCACCAGATTAGTTCTTGCTCCAAGAATAGCGACGCCACTTCTGTAGTTTCCCGTCTGTCCACCGTAGTACAACAATCCATCAACCAGTCACAAGCGGCCTTTCCGGTAAATGTCTGAAAAACAGTTCTAGGTGGCGATCCAACTTTACGCTCTCCTGCCATTCTTACACCAGCGATTCCATCCTTGTACTCGCTCAATGAGTCCGAATCAGCTGATGAGGTGCTGGTCTTGATGTTTGGTCCGTTTTGACCGACGAATCTGCGGAAAATAACCTCAATTGTGCTTCGATCTGAGGAAAGTTTGTCCGTAGCGGAATCTCTCTCTAAAACGACCAATTGCATTGTGTTTCGTGGGGATGCGATAAGGTCTGCGACATGTCTTTGTTGTATTCCATTCTTCGAGCAAAATCTTTCCAAAACATGAATACCTTTTGGTGTCAACTGCCATATGGACCCCTTCATTGAGAAATCCTTTGCTTGCTTGCCGTCCGCAGATTCAATAAATCGTGCATCCAAAAAGCGCTGACATACTGATCGAGCCATTTCCCGCGCCATAGAAAAAGTGGTTGTCGTAGTAGTGGTGACGATGCGCGAGGGGTCTTTTGGATCTGGCATACGATTCGACTGTGAGAATTTTAAAGAACCCAAATTATTGATAGCCTCTTCTGAAAGAAACGAATGCTCAATTCTAGTTAATCGTACGCGGTGCCCTGCTAGTGGTAAACTAACTACCAACGTTGCGAATAAATCCTTAAAATCCTTGGGGCCAAAGTTAGCATCAATCTTGCCCTCTTAATCAAAAATAATATATTTTGATCAATACATACTCTAGTGAACGGTCTATCATCACTCGTCATGCGCAACAAGCGCGACGATGTTTGGTGCATCTTGCTTGAATTTATCGTCCTATGATGTGAGTGGATCAACGGTGGGGTATCGGCTGCAGTATTCGAGTACGCCTGCGACGGAGTATTGCTACCGAGTAACGACTGACGACGACTAAGGAAATCGGTAGGAGGTGCGTATTCTGGAATCGTTTTGGTTGTAGTCGATGTTGATGTCGATGTCAATGTCGATGTCGATGTCGATGTCGATGTCGGGGTTTGACTGAATGAAGAAGATGAAGATGAACAACCTGTATCGGTATGTTCTTTCTTACTTGCAGCAATAATGGACTCTTCCGACTTTGACCTATTATTATTGATCCTCTTCAAAGGAGTGATTTGATCTGTACTTGAATCTAAAATATGGCTTGATGAATGACGTGAACGTAATGCGTTGCTAGTTTTATTCCTTGCCAATAAAGCCAAGTTAAACAAGCCACTTCGATTTTGTCTCAATGAGCAGCTAGTCGATTGTCGATGTTGCTTATTAGAAGAAGTATTATTAGATGTACGAGGTATCAGTTCCTTTGAACTCGATTCGCGAACGATCAATGAAGAAGAAGATTCTGAATCAAAAGGTAAAGGTCGAACAGAAAGTATTACTGAAGATATTCTAGAAGAATCTTTGGTAAAAATTTGAGACGTTTCGTCTTCTCGAATGAATCGATCCGAAAGTGGTGGTAGTGGTAGTGGTAGTGGTGGTGGTGATGGTGGTGATGAGTTTGAGGAGGCTGAGGCTGAGGTATTGGTGGTGGTGATTGGGGTTGTAGTTGTTGTGATTGAGTTATGTGTAGGCGGCTTGCTCTTGCTGTTAGAGGTAAGAAGAGATGATGAGGACGAGGGTATGATTTGAATTTGATTGTTATTTGTACCAATCAAATTCGAGACAGAATTTGACTTTTGGAAAGAGGAATTAGGAGTTTTAGAGATCGTGGAAGTCGTATTATTACTCGTGGTCGTGGTAGTCGTGTGGGGTGAAATAGAAGACGAGAGAGCCATCTAAGTTTCCTTTTTTAAGTCCATAACTAATAATAAGATTTAATAATTATTAAAAAAGAATAAACATGATTATAAAAATGTCTATACAAACAATACTGTGTATGTATACAAGGAAGGCATGATGAGAAAAGAGAATTAATGGAGTAACCTACCAGGATAATAGAAAAGGAACCTTGACACATCTGTCTTGAATTCGCGATATCCACGCTTGTATTTCTTTTTTATCTTTTTGGCCTGGTCGTCTCGTTGTCTCGTTTCTCTTACGGAGTACCTACCTTTTAATATTCCTTTCTTTTTTTTCCTGTTCTCTCTGCGGTAGTGGAAGAAAGGTTTTAGATTGTGTTTTGTTTAGGTGGATTCTCTGGGACCTGGGTACAGATAAATAAAATTTAGGGTACGGGTACAGGAAACAAGGTGCGGGTAGGCTGCTAGTAGAATTTGAAGCTAGCGAAGTTGGTGAGAAAGACAAAGTGTTGGAGATTTGATTTAGATTTCGGTGAATAGTATGTAATCGATTGATTTTGATTTTGATTTTGATTTTGATGTTAATCTTAATCTTAATTACTTGAATAAGAAGAGAAGAAGATATCTAGAAGTAAAGGAGGGAGAGTAAAGGGGTAAAGGGAAGCGAAGAGTATAAGAAAGGGTTGATGGAAGGAAGTGAATTGTGTATAAGAGCGAGAAGCTTGGAAGAGTGAGCTGCCTGTGAGAGAGTGACTTATCCATTGATCTTATCCATTGATTGATTTGGTAAGCATTACTGTAATAATGGTGAGTAAATCTGTCAGTTCTGGAGGTACTTCTAAGTTCTAATCCATAACCTCACCTCAAACCCCTGATGGATTGGACAGAATCATCCACATAGTAGTAGCGTGCATCCGGCGTGTTTTTCTCTCGGTAGTGTAAAAGAACAAGGGGGTTTGATTGAATTGTTCTATGCCTAGATATGCTGTGTGGTTGTGTTCCCTTCATGATTAATTGGTTAGATGAATATGTATCAGAATTGAAATATGAAGAATACCGAGTCCAACTAAACTATATCAGGTATTATTGAACTGTATTTATTCGAATTAACGACATCAAAAGTGGAATACCGGTACTGTAGAGATAGGTAAAGAAGAGGGGGTCTTGGCTATCTTCATTTATAGACCGATTACTCACCATTTTTCAATATAACTTTACGATTCAATATCAGCAAGGGAAGGGAAACTAACTCTATAAACCACAATACAATAGTCCATCTTCCCTTTCCCTATACTTCTAGACTCCTGTGCATCTAAATCCGAATCGGACTGTATCACATCACCCAATAACACCTATCACCGAAGACCGCCGTCTCTTTAACTCCAAGCTGATCTATCTTAGAATGAGAGGAAGCGTCATTAGGTCTTAAGTTCATTATATACGCAGGACGCATGCAGTAAGACGATTATGATTATGATTATGATTATGAGAATGCACACCCACCCAGCCGCTCAAATTCTCAATAACCCCAAACGAACCAATGAAAACCCCCGGTGCCGAAACATACTTTCATAAAAGGGCTGTCACAAACTCGTGGCCTACCTACTGTAAGCACACACTAACCACGTTTTCAGTTTAATGCCCAGGTGAAACTATTCTCGTTTTCTCGTTTTTTACTCGTGGCAGACAGGGTTCTTGATTATGGGATGGGTTTGTCCCCTGGTTCGTTCTCTTGTAGCCAATACTTTATATGTAATTATATGACTACTAAAAAACCCTCCGACCACTTATTTATCCTAAATAGACGAATACTTTTTTTACACACTGGCTATTATTATCAACCTAGGTAATTTGGTTTTGATATAATATAATGAATAGTAAGGCAAAATATTAGAAATATTAAGAATACGGATAGTGATTGGTATTGGTGCTACTACACAAAACATTTCGCAGCTATGATTCAAAATACAAAGAAAGGCTTGAAGCAGGTCAGTAAATCCGAAACTTTCATTATTCCCGTACAAGTACATTAAAAAGTCTTAGACAAACCAACCCACCAGCACCCAGCACCCAGCACCCAGTACCCAGCATCCAGCATCATCCAGCGCCAATGCAAGCGTCAATCCACCCATCAAACACGGAACCAAACACATGGTTACGAACGGCAGAAGCCTGAGATAAGCAGATCTTCAAACTCTGTTGATCTATTTTTTGGGTTCTTGGGTTCATTCTTGTGTATGTCTTTCTCTTTCTCTCTTTGGCTTTTCCCGCGGAACCAAATAATCATGTAATGAATGGGCTTTTCCCTCCGAATTTCGGTGGAAAAAAAAACATTGTTCCACCAAGTTGGCGGCTGTGGAATCACGTTTTTTTTATGATTTGATAATGATGATATATAATATGTCTTTTCTCTTTTCTCTTTGACCTTTGACTGGCCAGGTTCAGCCTACCTGCTTCGAGCACGGGTTTGAAGTAGATTTGATTATAAGATGGCAATATACATAACCAAAAAAATATCCGAGAATCGTACCATCAAATCATTTTACCTTTCGGCAGTTGTCCTGAAACCACGCAACAATGCAATTTATAGTGCAGTACTGTATCAGCATCGGTAATAACCCATCGCGAAATATATATTTTGCGAAGGGTTATGGAGTTGCGAAGTTTTTAGATTGGGTGGTGTGCTGTGCGATAGTTACCTCGATTTATGAATTGCTTCGCTTTTGGTGCTAGCTAGTACTACCTGCCGGCCGCCTAGATAGCATGATCGAGTCCACTCATTGCTGTGTGACACTGTGACAGCAGTGTGAGTGACTGTACACTGTACAGTAACAGAGAGAGAAATGCCGTCGGTAAACTGAATTGTACTCCGTACATCGATGAGGCCTGCCTGCCTTGTCTGTGAAATGGGGGAGTACCAACTTCCAAGCACGATGATGCGAGTATCCGAAAGCCACGCTTCTTCAGCGTGCATACATGCAATCAATCAATGTGCCTTGCCGTGCTTAATCTGATTGGATCAGAAAGAATGGTAATTTCTTTTAATTCATTTTCATGGCCGCTTCACAGGTCGCGGTCGCGTGCACGAAACTTACTCTGACCGCCAAATATTTATCTACAGTACTCGTACCTACCTATCTACCTACCTACCTACCTACTCAATCCCGATATTGGAATGCGTAAAAAGATATTCATTGTACCAGTGTACCAGACCAGTGTACCTCAACCACATATACATTAAGCCTTTCGCCAACAGTACAATACGTACGGGAATAATGCAATCTCTGTCAACAAGTCTACAAGTACATGGCTGAACAAAACATCATGTCAGCAATGAGCGCGCGGGTTCATAAGGTGGTAGATGCGTCGTCGCACCAAACCGCCAATCAATATTGTTGTAGTACAGTGGAGCCAGGTAGGGGGCCCGTTGGAATTTGAAATGAAGCATGATATAATTGATGATCACGAGACAAAACTTCGGTACATGAAAGAGCCTAAGAGGAGATGATTATCGAAACTGTTGAATGCAGGGCCCCCGATTTCCATAGTGGTTCTAGAACCCCGGGTAGGGCGATGGGATCGCGCTTCCTTTTAATTTGTCACCGCCCGGTGAACTGGGAAGGATCTGGTATCCATGTGGAAACCCCCTGTTTCTTTTTAACGACCAGCGTCTCGAGATTCAAGAAGCGGTGAAGCATGTAAATTTTGGGCTACAGTATGTACATAGAATTGAGAAGAAGGTAAAGTGCGACGACCATACAGTGATTGGGCTTTTTCTCGCGGTAAAGAGAACACGTGGGCTGGTGATAGATTTCATATATGGATGGATACTGATCTGTTACCACTTTGTCATGTATGATTTTATCCTATTCTACAGCAGTTCTAATATCAACACTCAACATTTTTGTCAGCTCCTCGATACTGTAGTAGATATGCACTACATCAGCATATCGTCTAGAGGGTAGGGGGCCGAACCTAGCTTAGCAACCAGTGTTTGTGGAGTTGACCAGGGAGGAAAAAAAGAAGGTGAAAAATGGGATGAAGGCATAACATTATCCCATTCCCAGTTGGGATTGATTGGTCGTCGTTAGCTTATGTTGGAAAACGCATGGGAAGAGGAAAGCATTTGGACATGCAAGACATCTAGTATGTACAGTATATCAACGGCATTGGAGATCCCCTGCCTCATACACTGTACGAGATAATCTCTCCTCTTGTCCTTCCTCCGATCTCGTATGATATGTACGGAGTACATACAGTTAGAGCATGCCAAGTTGCCAACATCCAACAGGCGTGAAGAGATGTGTTGCACAGACTCTTTCTTACTGCAAACTCTTCGACATGGGCTGGTCGAATAACTCCTCACATTATTGCGACGCTGTATGCGAGTCGTTTCGCGTACAGCTTCACCAGGGATTCTTTAAGACACACTTTTGTGTTCGTAGGTTCATTTGCGACTAGTAAAGGGGGACGAAAGAGGGGAATATCCACAATCTTTTCAAGTCCATTTGAGTCCATTTAATCAATAATTGTAGCGAATAGAGATCGAATTTGCTGATATGGTATCATCGGTATAGATAGATTTATAAAATGAGAAGATAAAATAAAGAAAGGACATCAAATAGTGGAATAGTGGGCTCCCACGTTTTCTTGTTCTCTTGCCACGTTTTTCCTAGGATGTCCCGATATTTTATTTTAGTACAACGTGATATGATATAACCAGTGCCGCTTAAAGTGGTGTTTACAGAAATCCACTGAAGACTTTAACATCCTTGACTACTTACTACCTAGGTAGTAGATGCACAAATATATTATTATCGGCGGATGTGGCGAGTGCAAAATTAACTAATATACAGTCAGATTTCCCTATTTGTATATAAATAATAATACAGCAACAGAAAAGGCGTTAGATTTACAAATTTTGATCCAATCTCTTAACCACGAGGCAATGTCTCAGCCTTATTTCTTTCCCTTTATAGATCAGATTTTCTAATTATCTATCTAGATAGATAGTTCCTAAATAGGTAGATAAATGC